CAGCCACAGCAGCAACAGCAGCAGACGACCTGGAAACCCCCAAATCAGACGCAAACGAGGCAGCAGCAGACACACCGGCAGCTGCAGCAGCAGCAGCAGAAGCTAGTTGCTGCTGCAGGCTGCAGATAGATGTGCTGCAGCAAAACGAATTTGGGCGCTCAGCTCTCTCAGAAGCTTTTGCTGCAGCAGACAGCGACGTGCTGCAGCTGCTGCTGGAGCACCACTCAGCAGAGCAGCTGGAGAAGGAGACCATCAGCAGCAGCCAGCAGCAGCAGCAGCAGCAGCAGGCTGCTGCTGCTGCTGCGCCTGCCGCTGCTGCCTCTGCAGAAGCACCAACTGCTCCGGAGGACCAGGAGGAGCCCCACAAGCAGCAGCAGCAGCAGCAGCAGCTTGCTTCTTCGTGTGGGGTGCGCAGCAGCACGACGCATGTGCTGCAGCTAAAGCAGCAGCAAATTAAATGCCGCGAGTTGGCCCTAGATTGGGCAGGCAGCGTTTTCTCAACAGCAGCAAGAGCAGAGACAGACGACACCACAGGTTTGCTGCTGCTGCTGCTGCTGTTGCTGTTGCTGCTGCTATGTTGCTGCTGCTGCCTTGGCCGTTGTGTTTGTTGCTGCCATTGTAGCTTCTGCTGCTGTTGTTGCTGCTGCTGCTGTTGTTGCTGCTGCTGCTGTTCGCGCTGCTGATGTTAGCGGTAGGGTTGCTGCGTCTGATCCCTGTCTGCTGCTGCTGCTGCTACTGCTGCTGCTGCTGCTGCTGCTGCTGTTATATCCTCGTTTGTTTCCTACTTTTCTCGTGAACGATTCATCCCCAGTTTATTCAATTATGATTAATTAATTAGTTTATTATTTATTTATTTATTTATTTATTTATTTATTTATTAGGAGTTGCCCTTTGGGGCTCTTCTTTAATCGGCGCCCACTGGCTGGCGGACATCGCCGAGGAAGACCCTGTAGGGCTTTATTTATATATTTATTTATTTTTAATTAATTAAAATAAATAAATAAAAATAAATAAGTAAATAAAAATAAATAAATAAATGAATAAAAATAAATAAATAAATAAATAAAGGAGAAAGAATAGAAGAATGAAGCGGCGTCGAGCAGCTGCTTCGCTGCTTTGCCAAAGGGTTTAGGGTTTAGGGTATAGGGTTTAGGGTTTAGGGTTTAGGGTTTAGGGTTTGTTCAGGGCGCATTTGAAGGCAAAGAAGTGCTGGAGTTGGGGGCGGGCTGCGGGCTGCTGGGCCTTTGCTGCGCGCTGCTGCTGCAGCAGCAGCAGCAGCAGCCAGCAGCAGTTTTCTTGTCCGACATATTTCCCCACGCCCTGGACAACCTCCGACACAACTGCAGCATCAACAGACTCCAGCTGCAGCAGCAGCAGCAGCAACAGCAACAGCAGCAGCAGCAGCAGCAGCAGCAGCGGCGGCCTGTTGTGGATGTGCTGCGCCTGGACTGGTGCGACCCAGCGACCTGGCCCAAAGACAAGGACGTAAGCTGCTACAGCTAGCTAGCTAGCTAGCTAGCTAGCTAGCTAGCTAGCTACCTAGCTAGTTAGTTAGTTGGCTAGCTAGCTAATTAATTAGCTGGAGGACTAGCTAGCTAGGTAGTTAGTCAGCTATGTAGCTAGCTAGCTAGCTAGCTAGCTACCTAGCTAGGCTGCTAGCTGGCTAGCTAGCGTGACAGCCACCTAGCTAGCTAGCTAGCCAGCCAGGTTGCTAGGTGGCTAACTAGCCAGCTTGGTAGGTGGCCAGCTATGCGGCTAGGTGGCTAGCTAGGTGGCTAGCTAGGTGGCTAGCTAGCCAGCTAGCTAGCCAGCTAGCTAGCTACCTAGCTAGCTAGCTAGCTAGCTAGCTAGCTAGCTGGCTAGCTAGCTGATTGTCTTGCCTTCCAGTTTCCGCGGAGGCAGGTGCTCCCTGTTGGCTAGCTGGCTATCACCTCTTTGCTGCTTCCCAATAAATAATAATTTAAATTTATTTATTTGTTTATTAATTTATTTATTTATTTGTAATTGTTGTTTGCTGCAGGGCAAGCCAAAGAAGTTTGACGTGCTGCTGGCGAGTGACTTGATTTACGAAGCAGCAGCAGCGCAGCAGTTTGCTGCTGCTGCTGCTGCTCTTCTGAAGCAAAAGACTGGCCGCCTTTACTACACCCACAGACTCCACAGAGATGGAGCAGCAGCTGTTGCTTACTGGTACGCTTTGCTGCTGCTGCTGCTGCTGTTGCCGCTGCTGCTGCCACTGTCCTTGCTGCTGCTGCTGCTGCCGTTGTCGTTGCTACTGCTGCTGCCCTTGTGGCTGCTACTGCTGCTGCCCTTGCTGTTGCTGCTGCTGCCCTTGCTGCAGCTGCTGCTGCCCTTGCTGCTGCTGCCCTTGCTGCTGCTGTTCTTGCTGCTGCTGCTGCTCCTGCTGCAGCAAAAGGTTCTCTTGGGCGTTTGTGTGTGTGCAAGGCTGCGGAAGGCGCAGCTAAAAGTGGCCGAACATTCTCCGCCTCTTTCTTACTTCCGAAACTGCCTCCTCGACAAGTCTGACGTGAGCTGCGCCCCCCAGTGGCTAGCTAGCTAGCTAGCTAGCTGGCTAGCTAGCTAGCTAGCTGGCCAGCTAGCTAGTTGGCCGGATAGATAGCCATATGGGCGGAGAGCCGGCAGACTAGCTAGCCAGATAAGCAGGCAGCTATCTAGGCAGCTAGCTAGCTCGCTAGCTGGCACGTAGCTAGCTGCCTAGCTAGCTAGCCAACTAGCTAGCTAGCTAGGTGAGCCTCCCCAGTTGCTTCGAATTCTGTTTTGCTGCTGCTGCTGCAGAAGGAGTTTTACGCCCTCTTCAGCGAACTGGAGGCAGAAAGTGACTTCGTGCTGCTGAAGGCCGCCTGGCGCTAGCTGGCTAGCTAGCTAGCTAGCTAGCTAGCTAGTTAGCTACCTCGCTAGCTAGCCAGCTAGCGAGGGAGCCTGCCAGCTAGCTAGCTAGGCAGCTGCTTGGCTGGACTGGCTAGCCACGTAGGAGCACAGCTAGCTCGCTAGCTAGCTGGCTAGCTAGCTGGCTAGCTATTTTAGTAGGGCCAACTTCATTCTATCCCTCAAGTTCATTTGAATGTTGTGCACCTTAAGGAGCTTCAACTTGCCTTTATAAGGTGGACCAGTGGTCAAGTTGCCACTGGCCCAGGTATTTAGTTGCAGCTAGCTAGCTAGCTAGCTAGCTAGCTAGCTAGCTGGCTAGCTAGTACGCCGCACTTGATCTGCTAGTTAGGTAGTAATGCGGGCCTGCCTAGCTGGCTAGATACATGGCTAGCTAGCTGGCTGGATTGCTAGCTAGCTGCAATTCACTTCTTTGGGGTCCAGGGGGGCCAAGGTAGGCAGGCCACTCCGCAGCCGCGTTCCAGCCACAGCAACTAAATACACAACAGCCAGCTGGCTAGCTAACTGGCTAGCTAGCTGGCTAGCTAGCTGGCTAGCTAGCTAGCTAGCTAGCTAGCTTAGGGGCCCGCGAGCTACGCGGGCTGGACGCCCGGGTGACCGCGGCGGGAGGCGCGGCGGGAGGGCGTGTGGCTGGAGAAGGGAGAAAAAAGAAATAAAATAAAAAATAAAAGAAACAAAAGAATAAAATTAATTAATTTAACTCGAAATAAATGGAAAAGTGAGGCCAAACGAGCAGCAGCAACGCGCCGGGGCCCCGGTGTCTCGATCGCTGCCTGCAGCTGCAGCGGCGGAGCGGCTGGCCTAGTGTTCAAGAGGCTTGTCTGAGTTTAAATTGGACTTATTTGATTAAATTGATTATTTAATTATTTAATAATTGATTTAATTGTTCAATTTATAAACTTTATTTTGATTTTATTTCGCCTTCGCGCCTTCTTTAAGCCCTTGTTTCCGTGCCGGGCCGCTCGTGACCGCCGCAGCGCCGCGGCGTGACCAGTGGCTGCACACCTGAATTTCGCTCCCTTGCCTCCCCTTTTCTTTCGATATTTTGCATTCATAATAATAATTATTATCATTTTTCTGCAATGATTGAAGAAAAGAAGGAGATCAGCACCTCGCAGGCCGCTGCGGCGGGCACCTCGGCTGCCCCCGTCTGCGGCGCCGCGGCCGCAGCCCACCCGCCGTGAGTTTGCCCACCAGCCCCATCTTTGAATTAATTAAATTGAATTAAATTAATTAATTTAATTTTTTAAACAAAATAAGACAGCAGTAGGTCGCGTGTGGCCGATGTGCTGCTGCTGCTCAGGCTGCTCGACGCCGCAGAGCCAGCCACCGCTGCAGCGCCCGCCGCAGCAGCAGCAACAACAGCAGCAGCAGCAGCAGCAGCAGCTAAGGGAGGGCCGAAGCAGCAGCAGGGGCTCTCCCCCCTCCACGGCCATCTTCTCTCTCGAGTGCTTTGGCTCAGCAGCAGCAGCCCCAAAGAAAAGCTGCAGTGCAGTCTCGTCTGCAAAGACTGGGGAGCAGCACTCGCCGCTCCCGCAGCAGCGTGAGCCCTTGCTGCTGCTGCTGCTGCTGTTGCTGCTCCTGCTGTTGCTGCTGCTGCTGCTGCTGTTGCTGCTGCTGCTGTTGCTCTTGCTGATGCTAATGTTGCTGCTGCTACTGCCAATGCTGGTATTGCTGGTGCTGCTATTGCTGCTGCTGCTGTTGCTGCCGATGCCGCCGCTCCTATTGTTGCAGTTGCTGCTGCTGCTTCTGGCGCTCCTGCTGCTTCAGCTGCTACTGCTGCTATTGCCGCTGCTGCTATTGCTGCTCCTGCTATTGCTACTGCTGCTATGGCTGCCGCTATCACTGCTATCAATGTTGCTGCTGCTGCCGTTGCTGTTGCTGCTGCTGCTGCTGCTACGTAGCTGCTGCTGAACTGCCTTTCCATTATTTAATTTGTGTCTTCTATCAATTGTGAGTTTGCACGTATTAATTGAGTTTGTGAAATCACTGAATATCTGCATGCATTTAATCTTGAAGAATGAACTTTAATTTGTTTTAAATTGCTGCTGTGTCGCTGCGCAGGTGGAGCCCCACAGCAGCAAGCAGCAGCAGCAGCAGCAGGGCAAAGGCCCTCCCGCTGCAGGGCCATTTGCTGCTGCAGGTGCTGGGCCTAGCAGAAGAGACGCAGCAGCAGCAGCAGCGCCTGAAGCTCGTCTGCAAAGACTGGAAAGAAGCCTTGGCATTGCCTGCAGCGTGAGCTTCCAAGCAGCAGCAGCAGCAGCAGCAGCAGCACAGCAGCGCGAACACCAGAAGAAGCAGCAGTAGTAGCAGCACAAGCAGCAGTAGCAGCAGCAGCAATAGCAGCAGTAGCAGCGGAGGCAGCAGCAGCAACAGTAGCAGCAGCAGCAGCACAGAAGCACTCTGAAAATAGAACAGCAATGGAAGAACAGTCGCATCGCTGATTAATTAATTATTTTGTAATTCCACTTCAACTTTAAAAGTTTTTCTGCTGGGGTGTACGTACACCCCAGCTGCTGCAGCTGCCAGTCCACTGAAGCCGCCAAGAAGAAAATTAAAAGTTTTGAACTGTTTTAAATAAACTTATTTATTTTAAATGTTTTATTTTTGTTTTATTTATTGTTTTTTAGTCTTTTTATTTCCTTTTTGCTGCAGGTGGCTAGACACCCGAGAAAGTTTGCAGCCGGCGGAGCCCGCAAGGACGCGGTGAGTTGGGGTGTACGTACACCTGAAGCTGCAGTGCTGTTTTGGGTCTTTTTGATTGCTTTCTGCTTCATTTTGAATAATAAAAAGTACTTTTTGTTTATTTTTAATTTTATTTTAATATTTATTTATTTGTTCATTTATTGGACCTTTTTGCTCCCTCAGCCGCATGGAAGAAAGACTCGCAGTTTACTTCGCCGCCCTGAAGCAGCAAAGCGACGATTTGCTGCAGCAGCGAAAATATAAATGAAGAAAAAGCTTTAAGAGCTTCCAGGCCAATCTGCAAATAGATTAGCAGCCCCGGCAGTGCCGTGGCTAGCTAGCCAGCTAACTAGCCAGATGGCTAGCTGGGAGGCAGGACGGCTAGCCAGCTAGCTAGTGGGCAGCGTGGCTAGCTAGCTAACTAGCTAGATAGATAGATAGTGGACAGCGCAGCAGGCTAGCTAGCTAGCTAGCTAGCTAGCTAGCCAGTGGGCAATGTGGCCGGCTAGCTAGCTCGTAGGCAGCGTGGCTAGCAAGCTAGCTGGAGGCGGAGCACCTCCCAGACAGCGAGCTGGCGAGCTCCAGAGCACCACTGCAGCTAGCTGGCTAGCTAGCTAGCTAGCTAGTCGGCTAGCTAGCTAGCTAGCTAGCTAGCTAGCTAGCCCTGACTCTGCCTGTGACTGGCTAGCCGTAGGAGGCAGATTGCCTCCCTTTGCCTTTGTGGCATTTATTTAGAGATTAATGAAGAAACGCAGATCAAATTTACTGCGAGGGTTTAGGGTTTAGGGTTTAGGGTTTAGGGTTCAAGCAACAATCTGCAGACCCTGCCCTGAGCCCGCAAGCAGCAAACCCTAAACCCTAAATGCAAAACTTTTATAAACCCTTGACGACATGCCCTGCCCTAGTAGGGTTTAGGGTTTAAGCTTTATTTCTGGTTCCTTAGTTTTTCTTGGGGTTTAGGGTTTAGGGTTTACGGTTTTAGAGTTGTCGCAAAACCCTAGACCGCTAACAGCTACGTGTGGCTAGCTAGCTGCGCCGAATCAGCTGCTGCAGCTAGCTAGCCACCTACAGCTAGCTAACCAGCTGCAGCTAGCTAGCCACCTACAGCTAGCTAGCCAGCTGCAGCTAGCTAGCCAGCTGCAGCTATTCAGCCAGCTCCAGCTAGCTAGCCAGCTGCAGCTATTTAGCCAGCTCCAGCTAGCTAGCTAGCCACCTGCAGCTAGCTAGCGAGCTGACGGGCACAGCCAGCTGGCCACGACAGTAGCTAGACACCACTGGCCACGGCAATCTTGCTGCAGCTTGCTGTCTTAGCTAGCTAGCCAGCTTTAGCTAGCTAGCCAGCTTTAGCTAGCTAGCCAGCTTTAGCCAGCTAGCCAGCTTTAGCTAGCTAGCCACGGCGAGCGCTTTGTGCTAATGGCTCTCCGTGGCTACTTTACACCTAGAGGGGCGTGGCTAGCTGTGTCTAGCTGCAGCCGTAGCTAGCTGTGGCTAGCTACGGCTAGCCGGCTGTGAGTGGCGGGGCAGCTAGCTGTGGCTAGCTGCGGGGAGCTCGTAAGGGCCGGCTGGGGCAGCTAGCTGGGGGCAGGAGCGCTAGCTAGCCGTGGCTAGCTGCTGCGGGGAGCTGTGGCTAGCTGCTGCAGCTAGCTGCTGCGGAGAGTGCAGCAGCCGCGAGGCTGTGTGCCCTGGGCTTGGGGGGCACGCGGTGTGTGTCTCCGCCACATTTTTGGAATTAAAGATTTTTAAATGTTTGAAAATGAACAAAAAGAATATTTGAAAGGAATAAAAAAGAAAAAGAAAGAAAGGAAGGCCATGGGAGCAGCAGAGCTGCGGCCCCTCGGCTGCGGCGCAGCCGCGTAGCGCCTACAGGGGGGAGTGGCTCTGGGGGCTTTGGCCGCGGGTTTGGGTCTAAAAGCGCAAAAAATGGAATAAAAAAGGAGAACTAATTATTTAATTGAATTAAATTAAATTAAATTTGCATTTAAAGGGGCGTTTGGGCGCAGATCCGCGGGCAGTGCCCGCCGAGGTGTGGCAGCTGGCAGCCGTCTGCTGCTGGGCGCAGCGGCGCTGCGGCGAGGCTGCAGCGCCCCAGAGCCTCCAGGCGCGTATTTAAATTAGGGTTTAGGGTTTAGGGTTTAGGGTTTGAAGAATTAGGGATTGTTTAGGCTCAAAACCCCAGGGGAAAGGAAGCAGCGCCGGGTGAGCGAAGCAGCCAGGCGCAGGGGGGCGCGGGCTGGCGCAGCATTATTTTTCCGTCCAGGCCTTTCTTTGTGTAGTTTTGCAAAATTTTAAATTCCATTTTAATCATTTTAGAAACTTAAACGTCAAATGAAACAAACGCTTCCATTTGAGGGCTCCTGAGGCCCCACCCCGCCTCCATTTGCCGCGCCAGCCGCTCCCTGCAGCGCAGCAGCTCAGGGCCTCCCCCCAGCAGCAGTTTGCTGCTGCACTTCTTCGCCCTGGCTTTTTTCATTTGAAGAGGAAGAACGCGACCAGCTCAATTTGAACGAGCCATATGCAGCAGCAGCAGCGCCACCACCGCCAGCAGCAGCAGCAGCAGCAGCAGCAGCGGCCGCCTCGCTACAATGGGTGCCGGCTGCGCGAAGAGCGTAGCTGGTGAGCCTCAGCGGCCCGCTGCTGCTTCCTTTTCTGCAGAGTACCACGGCCGGGGCCCCCCGCAGCGTGCGCAGCTGCAGCAGCAGCTGCAGCAGCAGCAGCTGCAGCAGCAGCAGCAGCAGTACATCCACGGGAGCCGCTCGAGGTCTTCGGGCCGGAGCTCGCGGCTGTCGCTCGTGCCCGCGCCGCCGCCGCGCGTGGCAGCAGCAGCAGCAGCAGCAGGAACAACAACAGGAGCAGCAGCAGCAAGATCGCGGACGGGGGGTCTGCGGCGTCCCTCGAGCGTGGCTTCCGTGGCTTCCCGCAAGAGTTCGGCGCGGAAAGACACGTGCGGCAGCATATCGGGAGCAGCAGCAGCAGCAGCAGCAGCAGACGCGCAGCAGCAGCAGGCGGGCCCGGCTCCCGAGGCCTCGCGCTTCGGTCTCGGCGACCTTGCAGCGCGCCTCTCCTCCCTCGGCCAGCAGCAGCAGCAGCA